TGAGTTCCAATTTGGCGCTTCTGATCAGAATAATCGCATTAAGACAAGCGTATGAGCTAAATTAAGCTAAGGAAGGTCTAAGTTACTGGATTAACCTGCAGGAAACTGTCATAACTGTTGCAATTTCATTAAGGATATTTCAATCAGATCCTCAGCCAGAGACTGTTTCTTTGCTCTTGTGGTTCTGTAACATCTTTTGAGTCACTTCTTAACACTGATCTTTTTTTAAAGCTTAATGTTAGCCCTAGTATTTCTCCTTTACTAATATACCTCATAGTTGTTTTTTGTTTATTTCATTTTCCAAAATCTCATTTTATGGTATTGCAGTTTGTTTCATTTCTTTTTTTGATCTTAGAATTGCCAGATTTAACTTGTTGTCTTTATTCTTTCCATATACAGTGCTTTAAAGTTCTACTATTATTCATGATTATTTGCTTCAAACTAGGGCCATACGATGGGCATACTGTAGGTCTGTGCCGCAAGATATTAGGGCACAAATACTTCATTATCTGCACTACTATTAAGAGGAACATGAGCCAAAGGGGGAAACATGGCACCTGTTCGGTATGTGGGTGGGTGGATGGATCTGTCAGCAGCACTTCCTCTGCCAGAAGGAATCACGGGGAGCTCGATGGGTTGCGATAGCCAATGAAAAGAAGCTTTTATCTTGTTATCGGTCCGTCATTGTGGGCTTAGTTAATTGGCTGCAACTGATGCCAGAAAACTTTGATGTGTTACTTGTACCTTTAATGTTGTTCCTTGCTGACACCCAGTAGCCTCTGAGCAGCTGCCAGTGATGCTGAATGTGTTGCTGAGGGGACCGTAACAATGTGACTACTGTCCAACAGACACAGCCTCTTTGATCTGGCACCCGATTCTAGATACAGTGCGTTTGTGTATCTGCTAAACAGGCATGCCCCGACATTCACTTTATCCAGATTAAGGTCAGCCTGTATGCATATTTAAATTAACAGATTACGAGAACTAAGCTTTGTCATGAGTTCCAAACTTAAGTAGTTTAAAAAAGATGATTCACAAATCAGAAACTGAGCGCCACTCCCAGGATGTGCTTCTGTTTTTCTGATTTATACAAATGTGAATTGATAGTCGTTTGGTTTTGGATTGTTATTCAGACAGACTAAGATATTTGAAGACATACTCTTGGGCTGGATGCTAAATCTAGCATATAAAAAAAGAAAAAACTGTTACTTGCAGCCCTAATTATATTCTGTCTTTTCGTCTGTATCTTTAAAATGTCAAGTGCTTTTTGTCCCTGCTTAAGGGCTGTGTAGTCAACAAAACAGACCTTAGACATGTGGCCACGTTCCACTTTCTTAAAACTTTCACTGAAAACAATCACCAGAACAGTGGTGAAGTGAGGCCTGCAGCGAGCCGACATGCATTGTCTACGGAGCTGCTCCCCGCCATTTTGGTTCTGCGGCGAAGTTGGTTATTCTTTAACTACGAGTGGTGAAGTGCAGCCAGAGAGTACCCGCAGACATGTGACATGTTGACCTACGTTACAAAGATTTCTTTCCTGCCCGAGTCAGTCGCATGAACAAACCTCCCGGCCTCAGAAAAATGTAGTTACTGGGGCGAGCCGCAGTTTGCTGGTGCCTTGTGTGTTTTCTGCGTTGACCACTTCTCTCGTTCTCTGCTGCACAACTCCATTGACCTCATTGCATAGCATCATGTAAAGAGGCACGTAGCACACATCCTCATATACAGACAGAAGTGGTAGTTGAGGTACAGTAGCCGATATGTGTCGCCCTTTTTAAGAATAATTCTGATGTCATCTCACTCGTAATTAACAGCCAGCTATTACAGCAGTCAATACAAATTACAGCACTGCACACATTCACCTACAAACCAGCAGGAGGTGATGTACTGTAATGATCCTGAAGGCTCGCAGACATTCTTTTGCCAGTTGTTGGCCTGCTGGACACCGGCCTGCCAGACAACTCTGCCCTGATCTAGTTTGTGCCCTTGGTAAAACAACTTGACTCCAGTACAGTAATGTGCCTTTCTGGCTGTGACACGGGTCGTCCATATCGGGCCAGACAAAAGTCCACGCAGACTTGACGGACTGCGTCTGTGGTGAGTGCAGTCTCTCCGGACCGCGGCTGAGCTCCTCTTCCTCACTGCCAGTTAGAGAGGCCATCTGTAAGACTTATCCGAGCTGGGGGAGGACCCGCTGGGGTCCTGATTAAAGTGATGAGCTGTAAAATGGAGAGGGAGGGGTTCTGACAGCGGGCTGCTGCCTGCTACACTGATCCTCATCTTGTCTGCTGGGAGTCGAACCTTCCTGCTCTACCTGTTTCCTCCTGTCACTGCAAATAGCTTTGTTTATGTCTACAAGCCTGCGACTGCTGTACGGTGGAGGCTGTTGGGCTGCACTGCTTTAGTTCTGCTCCAGATCCATCCATTATTATTAGTGCACTGTCGGGGTGTGTTGACTGTGTGAGGCTTTTTAAAATTTTGGTTTCCGTTCGCTAATTCCGCTTCAGGTGCAGCACAGTTTGTAAAGAACTGACACTTGGTACGCTATCATCTCGGACTGTGTGTGTGTGTGTGTGTGTGTGTGTGTACGTGTATGTCAAATTTAATGATGTCAATGTTGGGTCTATAAGCCCTTCGTCAAGCAGCATCTGGTAGCATTTGGTCTCTCTAGCTCTTGTTACAGACGTCTGTGTGTAAACAGACTGCACTTAAACCCAGATTATGTTCGGAATACAAAATACTACATTTTTTCAAAAGTCAAGTCAAGTATTTGAGGATTATAAAGAACTAAGCAGTGCATTTTGTCAGGGCTTAATATGACGATGTGATGACCGCACTTTGTGAAACAGCCCATGCAGATAAAGTTACTCTTGGTGTCTCAACACCATAAAATGCTCCACACTAATAGCAGTGAAATTCCACGATGCTCAATACCCAATATGACACCACATTAATAAACAAAAGCAAAACAATATATCCGATGTACTTCAATATGCACCCCTTTATTACTGTTTGCATTTGTTGTTCACAGTGTAGCATTATCAGGGAAATTTAAGGTCGTCGCCGGGACACAGTCGGTCTAAAGCGCAGATCCCCGGGACCTGCAGTACTGTTAAAAAAAGAGTACAGTCATGTTTTAAGAATTTTGGCATTGACTAGGTTTCCAAGTATCTGCTCTCGTGACATTTCTACTCGACACACACTACAAAGAAACACATTTTAAGGAAGATGTCAAATTGTATTTGAGGATGACTAAATCTTAGCATATTATCTTAGCTCTGTTAATGTGGTATGATGTGATGTGGCGGATCAGAAAACACTCTATAAATTGGTTTGGTCATTCTGTAGTAATGAACAATGCATCTGCATCTGAGCCAGTTGATGCATTGATCTTGCAGCCCCTTATTTACTTTGAAGGGGAACGAGTTGTGCAGTTAATCAGTGCAGATAAAATACAGTTCAACTCCCGTTGTCATTTGTAGCCAAGCTCACATGCACCTGCTTTGGTTTCTTTGCTGCCTGTTTCGAGTGGGACTCATTACAACAATTTGTTTGTATCGATCATAGCTGTTAAGACCGTGAACTTGACTGTATTGAGCTCTCACACGAGGAGAGATAGCTGCAGTGTAAATGGGATTGAATTAATGTGGAAACAATTTGTTGACCTTGAAGTGAACCGCACAGCTTATTTTTTTCTTCTCTTGTCAGTCAGGGGAAAGTAAAAAACAAATCAGATCTTCGCATCATGAAAATAGTGTGTTTTTCAAGATTTGAAGCTGTGTGCTAATGAGGACCGGAGGAAGAGGTGCTCTATCCGCGGCTCTGACAGCGGGGAGGCTGAGTGTGGAGGCAGGCGGGCCACTGTCTCCCTGGGGAGTTTTAAAAGCCCTGCACTGAGACAGCCACAGGCTCCTCTCCACTGGACTGTCTGTCATGTACAGCCGGCTGTGTGGATCCACAGCCTGGCGTTCAGATTAGTCCTCAGTGCTGGAGGCTCAGACATTTAGTTGCTGTTGCTACAAGTTCCTCAGGTTTCCTCTCCTACATTCAGGTTCACATACAAAGGGATGGGACAATATAGGAGTCGCCGATAGCGATGAGTTGATCATGTTTGTTTTTTTTCATTATCGGGATGATTGTGACCATCTTCACATGAATGACATTACAAAGCTGTTTAGCTGGTTATCATGGTAGTGAAGTGAAAATAGAGGCTTCACGCAAAGTGTTTTTCACAAAAAAGGATGTTCACTGAATTTGTGTTTACTATCGTTGATGCAATAAAAGTGTTTGTGGACATGCACCGTAAGAAACCAGTTTAGTCTGTTTACAATGTCAACCATCTAAGTTGAGCATGTTGGCATGCTAACATTTGCTAATTAGCGTGAAACACAAAGTACATCTGAGACTGATGTTAATGTCAGTGTTTGATCATGAATTACAAATTTTTAAAAATGACCTATTGGTGGTGCTAGATGAAGAGTCACCAAAGTCAGTAGGACTCATCCTCTGTGGACCATGAATGTAAATACAAAATCCATAAAGCCCTGCCACTACATTGCTTACAATAGAAACTGTTATATATACTTATAATTTCAGTCTGGTATTATCCCTTAGAAGCAAACTACAAAGCTGTGGGCAAAAAGGTCTGTCCACAAGTAGATGGACTTCCCAAAGGCAAAATCTTTCGAGGACATAATGTTCTTTTAAGTGTAAACAGGCACACACATGCAAAGTTTACTGTCCAAGTATCAATTTTCTTGCACTAGTTTGGTGTAGCGAGTTGGCATCAATCGATTACTTTCTCTGACAGCGCTGCCAGAACTGTTGATGAAATATACTTTCAAAGTGTGAAGGTGTTCCACCATGTGTGATTAGATAGCTTAATATGTTGCTCCCACTTTTGGCAAGCGCACGTGCAGGATGCACGCAGCAGCGCATCGCCTGTGAAAAGGGGTTTACACAAGCTCATGATTTCCTTCAATTTTACTTTATTCCTTCAGATGTTGGGAGAGCAGTTCACGCCCCGGCACACATCACAGAGAAAGTGGTGCAGCTGTTCAGGAGGAAAAGTGAGTTTACTTTCTTGGCCTCCATCCAGCAGAAGTCCTCCACGTCAGGAGTCATATTCTCCATCCACGAGTCAGAACACAGGTAATCCGTCTGTAATCCTCTTCATTTTGGCCCGCAGCTCCTTTTCTGTACAGTTACTGCACTCTCCCATTTACGTTCTCATCTCACTCATGGCTGTTTGTAGATGGCTGTCGATGAGGTGTAGTAAAGTAAAGATCAGTGCGAGATTACTCCACTGCCAGTTTAAGTCGGCGTGTGATGGGAGGGCAAGTCTACGGGTGGAATAATGCACCGTATCCTCCTGTATGCTCAGGGCAGGAAGATAACCTTCCATGTATTGTGTCTGTAAGATGAGTGTGAAGCACTAAGCAATACCAAGCATGCTGATAATGCCGAGTTTTATCGTAGAACGCTGCATAAACAGACATGCAGCATCCCTGATAACTACAATGTATGGCCTTGTAACTGAGCTGCGATGAACGACCAGAGCACAGAAATAGGTACAGGTATTTTTTTGAACATTGGTTGTGTCTCCTTGGCTGTTTTCGAGGAGTCTTATTGAATTTGTTGCAATAGGCTGAATTTTGCTGCAGAATGCGATGGCTGCAGGACATCAGCGAGTGGCAGCAGTGAGCTCACCCCTCGCCCCCTGAGAAACACTACAGCTATGAATTGTTTTAGAAGGGCAGGCAACATTGATTTTCCCGACACTCCTCTGAAAGTAAAAGCCTTCAGTTCTATGAAACACACAGTCCAAGTGAGCATGCGAGGGAGTGTGTATGTGCGAGTCAAGAAAAAGGCAGATTGATGGAGAGAGTTGCGAGGGTTAATCTAAAGGGTTATCGGATTATTAAAGGGATACATTAATTAAAAATATCTGGCACAATAGTTTTTATACCATTTCTTTCTCTTACTTTTCTCGACTTTTAGCTTATTTCTTTGTAAAATACTGGATTCTCTCTATTCTGGCCTCTTGAAATCCTTCAAATTAGAGAAATCAGAAAAAGAGAGACTCTAAATGGTCCATTATCTGCGATTAGGGGTCATAAATATACATTGCTTGATTTTTAGGGGTCACAAGACAAACATAGTTGGAAACCACTGCTCTAAAATGTCGCAAAAAGAGGCATCTGGTTACTCTGCAGTTAAACAAGACAAACATAGTTGGAGACCACTGCTCTAAAATGTTGCAAAAAGAGGCATCTGGTTACTCTGCAGTGAAACATAGCTGCAGGTTTGATTCATCACTCAGACAAAAGCTTTGTTATGCTAAATGAAATCCCATTGAAACGGACGTTAGAGCTTCTTTAGCTTCTGTACTGTGAGTATTCTCCAATTAAACAGAATATTTGAGCGGTGCACAGTTACAGGAGGGATTTCAACCAAATCCTTTGAAATCACAACATATATCACAACAACAACAACAATGACTGTTCTGCATCATTCCCGTCTTAATGCTTCTAAGTACATTTTGCAGATGATGCATGTTTTGATTTCAGTGAAGTATGCAGGACTATTGGAGTATTTATTCTTTGTGGTATTGCTACTTTTATGTAAGCAAAGGATCTTTCTCCACCGGTGTGTATGTGCATGCCTGTGCACTCGTTTTTCTTCAAGCCCCTACTGTATGATTCGCTCTTGAAGAGAAATGTGTTGGCCCCTGCTGTGCTTTTAAGGTGACCCTGCGAGTTGCCTTTCAGTCCCCTTTCTCTCTCTCTCTGTCTCTCTGACAGTCTCTCTCATATTACCTGCCACACAGCGGACTGGCCAAACAGCAGCGAGGATAAATGGAGCCAACTCACTGTACTGTCCTCCTCCTTCAGGCACAATGACATGCTCCGTGTAGCATACATAGCTCAGAGGAGTGCTCGGACTAAGCAAATATTGCATTACAGGCACTTAGGCGTGCTCAAACACATTCAGATGTTATACACTGTACTGATTCCTGAAGCCAGTCTATGACATTTATAATGTTCAGAGGGTTGTTGTTGACTTTCTAAGGATCTGTTCCCGAAAATGGCAAGACATATTTCTGTACTTCATCAAAAATAAACATCTTGAGCGAATTTAATGTCTACAACAGAGGCTTTGTTCACATGCAAATTAATAATCTAGATACCAGTGCATTTTTTATATCCCGACTAATATGCACAATGAGTGATGGAATACTGCAAGAATTACCATAGAAACTAAACTTGCACAAACTGCGAAATTGGACAGTAAAGCAGACACATATCCAGCTATTAGCTTTCCTCCAGAGATGAGCCTTGCAGGCTTCTTGATAGACCTTAACTTATTAAAACAAAAAGAGGTCGCGTGAATTGGGATGCTGTGTGTACCGTGTCTAATCAGAATATGATGTGAGCGAGTTCGGCCATGAAATCAAATCCAATTTTTTTTAATCAGGTTGAATGTCCTAACTGGCTGCGAGTGAAGCCTCGCTGCTCGGTGTGGAGCTGAACATCTGTTTGGACGCCCTGTTTTCTAATCATTCCTGTCGCTCGTTTAGAAATTCCCACAGTGGAACATTTGTAATTTATGAAGTTGAAATGAAGAGTAATCGATACGATACCTGCTCATTTCACTACTGGCTGGCTGGAGGGAGATCACCAGGGAGCTGAAAGTCTCCCACTTGCTGTTGGCTAGATTGTACAACTCACCCATCCTGTAAGTGGTTACATATCCAGTCTGATCTGGAGAGCACAGCTTATAGGTACGTGGTTTGAGTGACTTAACAGAAGTGCATATTAAACAGATTCCGTGTGGACAGAGTTATTAGTTATTACAACTAAATAAGAAGACCAGATTAAGTTATTGGATCGGGTTCTTACTCTTTCAAGAAGACGCAGCAAGGTCAATATCATTCACCATTACAATAAATGATCAGTTCAATGTTATTATTAAAAAAATATAGATTTTATTTAAATATAGTGAAAAGAGTTGTCATTTTAGACAAAGTAATTGTGTGTCACTATATGTTGATACATTTTCATGGCGAAATGATTCCATTGAAGGACAATAAATATATTGAATTATCAGCCAGCCCTAGTGGTATGTAGCCATACACACATTGTTTTTATTTAGTTTTGTGCAATAAGTCCTCCAACCAAAATAACAAAATATATGATTTGTCCTTGGCTTCCAAAATAACCAATAAGAGCATATGTGTAATGTGTATACCGGCAATAACAATGATTCATGACTGTTTTGTGCTCTGCCACCGCTGTGTACAGGCTTTACTTAGATTAAGGCACAAGAAGAGAGCTATTGCGGTCATGCTTAAAAGAAACCAGATTACTTTTGGTTTGGGCAACGAGATGTGAGTGCGGAATTGTCTTCCAAGTCAAAGTCAGGTTTGTTGACCCATCCATCCACCATAAACCTCCTGCCTAAGAGGATTTGTGGTGGCATAACAATGTCTTTACACAGTGAGACCTGTGGATTATCCAGAGTAGCGGGATTCTGTCTGTGGAAAGACACATCGCTGTCGAAGGTGGCGGACGTTTTAAATGTGGATCTCTCAACATCTCTACACATAAGCCTAAAACAATCTGCATGGACAGACATCATAGGGGTAAAAGAGAAAATATACTTTCTTTCTCATGAAGCATTCACAGATAAAATACAGACTGAATAGTTAACCATTTATTCCTTAATTAAATCAGAATAAACCCCAAGTCTGTAAGTCCTTTTCCATCAAATATTGTATATATTTGATCATGTAGAAATAGGGAAGCAACTCCAGCCAAGACAAGCCGCAGCAGGCTGAAGTTGTTTTGAGGCGAGCTGTTGTGTGAATCAGGCTCCAACACTGTGAGTGTAATTAAATTTGGCGAGATGGAGGCTTGACTGGCGCGGAGCAGACCTGTGCCCCATTGTGACTGAGGATTTGTTCTGAACCTCTGAATCCCCTCTGAAGGCCCTATTAGAGCTCTTGGCCAATGCCCATTCTTTCCCATTATAATGCAGGTCTCCCATTCAGCCAGCTAGCAGAGAGCTAGTTCTATCACTCCGCCAAATCCAATCATACATTCCTTCTGTCCCTTCTTTAACTTCTTCGTCTTACTCTCAGCACAATCGAAACCATCCTCTCTTTCCTCCCACCTCCTCTGCCAGCTCCGCTTTCCCAATATGATAATATCCTCCCTCTCTCTCATCCTCCGCTCTCCTCATCCTCAAAGTGAAAACGTCTCGAAATGAAAGCATTTCGGCGTAGCCGCTTGCAAAAGCAGAAGAAACTTTTCTTTCTTCTTCTTGTGCCCGGCACTGGGGAACGGGATAGAAGGTTTTTGTTGATGCTCCACTAAGCTGAATAGAACAAAAGTAGCCTCTTTCTGCCTAGCCAGCAAGTTTTTTTTGAGTCCCAGCAACGCTCTCATTGTCAGCAAGTGGCAGAAGCTCTGTGATGAACTAGCTCAAAGCCCAGTCTCTCCAGCGCTCTTCCCACCTGAACACTTAAACACCTAAGATGCTCAGCCAGCTCCTCTGGCTGAACAGCTCTGTTCATCTGCCTGCCCTTTGTCACTCTACAGGCCTGTCTCTCCCTCCTTGCCTCAGTTCATGAGCACTTACAGGTTCTTCTCTTTTATGGAAACATGCTGAGCTGAAGTCAACACGAGGTGGGAGTTGAAAGCACACAGAGATGGAGGAGAGGGGATTTAAAAATGTTACTAAAACCAATCAATCAGTCAAACACACACTCAGATAAGAAATAATGCCTTTGGTAGTTAAATCATGAAGTTTAACAGTCAGAACTAACTTTTATGAAATACTTTTAAATTTCTATCTTACAGTGATTCTGATCCTGGCTTGGATTGTACCTCATTTGTACATTGCGTTGTACAAAAGTGTCAAATTAAAAACAAAGGTGCACTACGCTTTAATGTTTGATGAATGAAAACAACCCTTGGCTGTAAAGCGTTGTCTAACACACTTCATTCAAACTCAGAAACAAGCGGCGGTGTATGCAAGTAATCGGCTCAAAGTCATCATATGATACACTTTATACAATCTTGGCAAAAACTAAATTAAACTCAACAAGCTGTCCGCCCGCTTAGTAGCGTCTGAGATGAGGTGAGGGT